TGTGTAGTGTGTGTACTCTGTGTGTTTACTGGGTGTACTCTGTGTAGTGTGTGTACTCTGTGTGTTTACTGGGTGTACTCTGTGTCCTGTGCATACTGTGTGTGTTTGTGTGTACAGTGTGTAATGTGTGTACTGTGTGTTTGTGTGTACAGTGTGTATTGTGTGTACTGTGGGTGTACTGTGTGTACTGTGTGTATTATGTGTACTGTGGGTGTATTGCGTGCACTGTGGGTACACTGTGTGTATTGTGGGTGTACTGTGTACTCTGTGTGTACTGTGTGTGTTCAGTCCAGGGCCAGCAGCGGTGTACTGGTCTCTCTGTCCATCTGTCGCAGAGTTCCTGTTTCCACCGTCGACTGAGACCTGAAACACAGAAACGGCTCTGATTCTTCTACAGGTGAATAAATGTTTTCACAGGTAACTTCCTGCTTCAGTAACAGGAAGTTCCTCTGCAGCTGCTTAACGTTTGACCCAATCCAAGATGGCCGCTGCAGCTGACTGACCTCAGAGTGGTAGTAGCTGAGCGCTCACCTCTTCATCATGTCCTTGTCTCCTCCTCCTCCTCCACAGCTCTCGCGGACGTGCAGGGCGTCGTACGTCAGCGTGTACTCCGTCTCGTCGTTGTAGTCCGGTCCCAGCAGAGTCCGGGCCCAGATGCCCATATCGTACGGAGGCAGCGTCCCCCCGAACTCTGACGGCAAACACTCGGGCTGGATGAGCTGGTGGAGCGAGTTCAGGTTGTTCCCGTGGAGAAAGATCTGAGGCAGCAAGGAGACGAGGAAACAGACAGGAAGCAAGGAAACAAATGAGAGGAGATAAAAAGAGGAAAACAAGAGGAAGAAGAAGAAATGAGGATGAAGAGGAGCAACATCTGTGCACACTGAACAAGGTGAAGCTGGGATGTTCCCGCCTCTTTTTAGTGTGAAAACTACAATGCTCCACCACTTTTTGGACTGAAAACTACAATTCCCTGCCTCTTTTTGGTGTGAAATCTACAACTCTCCGCCTCTTTTTGGAGTGAAAACTACAGTGCTTCGCCTCTTTTTGTCTTTTAAGAGTAAAATCTATGAGGCCCCACCTCTTTTTGGAGGGAAAACTACAATGCCCCGCCTCTTTTTGGAGTGAAAACTACCATGCTCCACCTCTTTTTGGAGTAAAAACTACAATGGCCCACCTCTTTTTGGAGTGAAAACTACAGTGCTTCACCTCTTTTTGTCTTTTAAGAGTAAAATCTATGAGGCCCACCTCTTTTTGGAGGGAAAACTACAATGCCCCGCCTCTTTTTGGAGTGAAAACTATAATGCCCCACCTCTTTTTGGAGTGAAAACTACAGTGCTACTCCTCTTTTTGTCTTATGGGAGTGAAAATTACAATGCTCCACCTTTTTTAGAGGAAAAACTACGAAGCCCCGCCTCTTTTTAGTGTGAAAACTACAATNATACATATAAACATGATGTAAACATGACTCAGCAGGAATACAGTCAATATTTACTCCCACTTAAATATAGGAACCACTAGACTTGATTAGTCCTGAAGGACTGAGGGTCCGTGTCCTCCCTCCAGGCGTATCGGTGGTACCAGTTGGGTCACGAGCGCGGTCACTTCGCCTCGGTCTGGCAGCGCTCTCTGTACAATGTGGACGGACTGAAGGCTCAGCCCTGGTGGACCCCCAAAGAGACAGGGTACTCGGACCTGGTGAAGGTTCGCTGTCACACCGACACATGCTGGGTCCTGCTCCGTCAGGACCGGTTCTGACCCGGTATGATGTGTGTTCAGATGCTGGAGAGGAACTGGAAGACCATCAGGGACGAAGCTCTAGCTGTGATGGACCGGGACAAGGGACGGTTTGTCCCTGAGGAGGAGAACCTCAGAGAGAAGGGAGACTGGGGCCAGTACACGCTCTGGCAACAAGGTCCAGGACGCTCCGGGTCGAACAGAACCACAGGTTTTACCTGTTCAGGTTAATATTTACCTTTCTCTGTTTGTTGTCAGGGAGGAAAGTTGGGTCTGCCTGTCAGGGGGTCCCAAAGACCTGTGCCCTGATTGACCGGTTRCCTGAAGCCACAGGCTGCAAGAGAGGACAGGTACAGAACCGCAGAGTCCAAACTCTGGAACTCTTTGACATTTGGMTCTGGTCTGTGTCCTGATGAAGGTTCTGGTCTTTGTTCAGATAAAATTCTCCGTGATGCAGCCAGGAACCCACGTCTGGCCCCACACCGGACCCACCAACTGCAGACTGAGGATGCACCTGGGCCTCGTCATCCCCAAACCAGGCTGCCGGATCCGCTGCACCAACCAGACCAGGTGAACCTGCTGACTCATGGTTTTACTGAGGGAACACTTAGTTTTAGCTTTTTTTATCTGTTTCAGCTGCTTTTAGCTTTTAGGTACTGTTACCAGTGATTAAGCTTAGCTTTTAGCTAGCTTTTGATAGCTTTAGCCTTTAGTTACTTTTAGCTTTTAGCTAGCATTCTGATAGTTTTAGCCTACAGTAGACTGATGCTGCCGTCAGATTCTAAGTATCACCAAAGTCTGGATACCCTTACACTCTTGGTACCCTCAGAGTCTGTTGGTACCTTCAGTCTGTTGGTACCTTCAGAGTCTGTTGGTACCTTCANCTTTTTGGAGTGAAAACTACAGTGCTTCGCCTCTTTTTGGAGTGAAAACTACCATGCTCCGCCTCTTTTTGGAGTGAAAACTACCATGCTCCGCCTCTTTTTGGAGTAAAAACTACAGTGCTTCGCCTCTTTTTGGAGTGAAAACTACAGTGCTTCGCCTCTTTTTGGAGTGAAAACTACCATGCTCCGCCTCTTTTTGGAGTAAAAACTACAGTGCTTCGCCTCTTTTTGTCTTATGGGAGTGAAAATTACAATGCTCCACCTTTTTTAGAGGAAAAACTACGAGGCCCAGCCTCTTTTTGGAGTGAAAACTACAACCCTTCCTATTTTTGACAGATTGACACTAAGAAAATCTGAATCTAAAACAAATTAGGACTAAAAATAAAATGTTTAAAACAGGAAGGCAGAGAAATAAAAATAAAAGTAATCAGAACAACTAAACATGACAGATGATGATGATGATGATGAAGAGGAATATTCACCCGTTTCCTGGTCTTGTCTTTGAGGAAAGGTTTGATGATGGTGTACATGGCGTGGATGTACCACGGCTGGTTGACGAAGTGGATCCCTCCGAATCGAGCCGGAAAACTGTCCTGAGGAGGTTAGAGGAGGAGAGGAGGTTAGGAGTCGAGAGGAGGAGGTTAGAGGAGGAGAGGAGGTTAGGAGTCGAGAGGAGGAGGTTAGAGGAGGAGAGGAGGTTAGGAGTCGAGAGGAGTTTAGGAGTCGAGAGGAGGAGGTCAGCAGAGGAGACGTCTCAGTGGCGTCAGCAGGAGGTGAGGAAGAGGAGCAGACCTGCAGCCCCTCGATGGCCAGCTTCAGGATGTTGGGGGTCAGTTTGGAGGCCTGTTTGAAGGAGAAGTTGCTCCAGTCGATGATGAGGGTGAAACCGTTGATCTGCAGCTCGGGCTTTTCGATCAGAACCTCCAGAGACAGCAGGATGGCCCGCAGGATGTCTACGAAGGAGTTCCTGGAGGAAGGAGGTATTGATCAGCAGCTAATGGACCGGGACCACCCGTTGGACCCCATGAGTCTTAACTACACCTCTGTCTGACTGGATCATTAGACCTGTCTCTCTGGACCAGAACCAGTTCAGTTTCTCTGCTGCTCTGATCTCAACCAACAGCGACCCCTGGTGGTCCCAACTAGAACTACATGAAGAACATGAGCTCAGAGGTTCTGGTTTTGATGGATCCAGCTGGGTCCAGTCCCTGTGGACCCATCAGGAACCTTATTAGCTGATTAATTAACGAGATTTTCTGTCAGATGTTAATCTTTAAAATAGATTGTTTCTGTTGGATTAAACTGGTTCTGTTTCAGGTGCGGATGGATGGATGGATGGATGGATGGATGGATGGATGGATGGATGGATGGATGGATGGATGGATGGATGGATGGATGGATGTTTTTGTTTACCTGCTCTGGTCCCAGTTCGAAGCAAACAAAATGAGGATTTTGCGTCCGTGTTGGTCCGGACTCTCCAGAACTCCTGGGAACCCGTCCATCAGGGCCCGTTTGATGCCCGGGTCGTCCACCTGATCAACACACCATCAGCGCGTTAAATTAAACAAATATAAAAACATGAAGTTTGTCTTCAGTCCCACAGAACCAGAACCAGAACCTTGAAACTCTGGAACATGTCCAGGTTCTGCTGTCTGAACTGGAAGTACTGGGCCAGCAGGCGGAACGTCTCCACGTGGTCAAACTTGCGGGCTCGCAGGAAGCGAACGATGAACTCGTCATCTGTTCGCAGAAAACCGATGTCAGGTCGGGTCACGATCATGTCCCGGACCTGCCGAGACCAGAACCAGGATCTCACTTCAGTCTGGACTGATTTAATCTGTTTCATTAAGTTGATAAATAAAGATCAGGAGGTCCAGTGGACCCAAGATCTGTTCTGTTGGACATTTGTGTCTCTGTTTACCTGTTGGACGTCCTGATGAAGAGTGTCTGGGTTCTCGTTCAGTTCTACTCGAGCTTTCTCTGTCGTCTCTGAGCTCAGGTTGGACTGGACCCGGTTCATCCTGGAGTCCAGATCAGATTTAATCCCAAACATCTGAAAGAACTTCCTTCAAATCAGGACCTGCTTGGGCTGAGTCCAGCTCCGATGGACACCTCAAAGTCCAGGTCTGATGGACACCACAGAGTCCAGTCTGATGGACACCACAGAGTCCAGTCTGATGGACACCACAGAGTCCAGGTTTGATGGACACCACAGAGTCCAGGTTTGATGGACACCTGTCTCTGTCCTCTAAGCGATCCAGTCGTAAACGTGTTGGGGTTTTGGATCTCTAAAGACAATCAGTCCAACTGACAATCGTCTCTGCTGTCAGGAAGTCTTGGTTTTTTGGTCTTCAGAGAGTGTCAGACATGTCTTCAGGACAAAGGACAGCAGAGATTTTCCAGAACATGGACCAGTACAGTTCTGTGGACCTCGCAGGTGAACTCACATCCTGCTGAGATGTCCTCCTTGTCCTGCTGCTCCAGGTTTCAGGGACCGAACTGTCCAACATCTCAGTTGGACGTAGAGGCTGGTTTCAACAGGGGGTCTGGTGTCCTATGTCTTCTGGGGACCAGTCCAACATCAGTTAAGGCACTGAGGTCCAACATGTGGGTCCTAAAAACCAGGACAGATGAGAACACAAACATCAAACTGTCCTCATAAAGAAGACATCTACAGAAGGTCCAGGAACAAAKTCAGGACAGAAACTTTAATCCTTCTAACAGATGAGTTCTCTGATGAAACGTTTCATCTCTCCTCCAAGAGACTTCTTCAGTCTGAGAGTTTCAGGTGAACTCAGCCTTATAAGCTCCGCCTCCACATGGTGGACAGACAGGTTGGTCACATGCAAAAGAGGACCATCAGCCAAACTATAGATCATTAGAGCTCTGATTATCTCTATTGTTCATAGAGGACCATCAGAATGTTGTTAGGCTGATGGTCCTCTTTTACATGTGACCAACCTGTCTGTCCACCATGTGGAGGCGGAGCTTATAAGGCTGAGTTCACCTGAAACTCTCAGACTGAAGAAGTCTCTTGTAGGAGAGACGAAATGTTTCATTAGAGAACCGTCCAGAGGACTTTGTCTACCTGGATTCCTGAAATCATCAGAACAATCCTAAACAGGACAGTTCTGTCTTCTGTCCCACATGGACCTGTCCTCAGTCTCTGTCCCACATGGACCTGTCCTCAGTCTCTGTCTCTCATGGACCTGTCTTCAGTCTCTGTCTCTCATGGACCTGTCTTCAGTCTCTGTCTCTCATGGACCTGTCCTCAGTCTCTGTCCCACATGGACCTGTCCTCAGTCTCTGTCCCACATGGACCTGTCCTCAGTCTCTGTC